CAAGTATAGAGCAGTAACTACAATGGCACTTTTCTTGTTACTACCCAATAAAGTATAGAGCAGTTACTACAATGACACTTTTCTTGTTCCCACCGAAACAAGTATAGAGCAGTAACTAAGATGGCACTTTTCTTGTTCCCACCGAATCAAGTATAGAGGAGTAACANCCGAACCAAGTATAGAGCAATAACTACAATGGCACTTTTCTTGTTCCCAGCAAAGTTTGTTTTTATGGCAGGGACCTTGGAACTGGAAGATCGTAACTCTCCTGAGCGCTAAGGGTTAATGCCGAACAATGGGGAAATTGATCGTTTTGTAAATATGTAAAAGCCGTCTGCTATTGGCCAGTTTTAGCAACCTCAGAACAAAGAAATATTTAAAAAAAAGACACCAGTGAAACGGTATTCATTCTTTGATATTGGGAGGCTGGTAGGTCATATGGGCCATATGGTCATTTTGTTATATGATATTTGTACAATGATTGGAGTTGGTGTCGCGTTCAACTCTCTTGTATTTTCCATGGTCAAGGTATGTAAAACGCAAGGGTTCAAACATAACATATTTATATACGCATAACAATGTGTTTTCAGTGCTTTTTAGCTCACCTGGCCCGAAGGGCCAAGTGAGCTTATCCCATGGTGCAGCGTCCGTCGTCCGTCGTCCGTCGTCCGGCGTCCGTCAACTTTTTCCTTTAAAATGCTACTTGTCCTGAATGGCTCAGAGGATTTTGACCAAATTTGGTCAGGAGCATCATTGGCCAAAGGGTTCTCAGTTTTGTATAAACGGAGGGTATAACCCCCCTGGGGGCAGAGGGGCGGGGCCAAATAGGGGGAAAATAGGTAAATCTTTAAAAATCTTCTTCTTCTCAACCAATAGAAGGATTTTGACCAAATTTGTCCTAGAGCATCTTTGGACAAAGGAGACTCAAGTTTGTATAAACGGAGGGTGTGGCCTCTTTGGGGGCAGAGGGGCGGGGCCAAATAGGGGAAGTAGAGGATTTTTTCTCTCCTACTATACAAGTGAAGGGATTTAAACCAAATGCAGTCTGAAGCTTGGTCAGGAGCATCATTGGCCAAAGGGTTCTCAGTTTTGTATAAACGGACGGTATAGCCCCCCCTCGGGGCAGAGGGGCGGGGCTAAATAAGGGGAAAAAAGGTAAATCTTTAAAAATGTTCTTCTTCTCAACCAATTGAAGGATTTTGACCAAATTTGTCCTAGAGCATCTTTGGACAAAGAAGACTCAAGTTTGTATAAACGGAGGGTGTGGCCCCTCTGGGGGCGGAGGGGCGGGGCCCAATAGGGGAAATAGAGGATTTTTTTTCTCCTGCTATACAAGTGAAGGGATTTTAACCAAATGCAGTCTGAAGCATGATTAGGGACAAAAGAATCAATTTTGTATAAACTGAGGTGTGTGGGCCTCCTTCTAAGGGCAGATGGGTGGGGCCCATTAGGGGAAATAGAGGAAAACATCAAATATCCTTCTCCTTTTGTACCGATGAAGGGATTTTGACCAAATTTGGTCTGGAGCATCATTGGCCAAAGGGTTCTCAGTTTTGTATGAACGGAGGGTATGGTCCCCCTGGGGGCAGAGGGACGGGGCCAAATAGGGGAAAATAGGTAAATCTTTAAAAATCTTCTCCTCAACCAATTGAAGGATTTTGACCAAATTTGTCCTAGAGCATCTTTGGACAAAGGAGACTCAAGTTTGTATAAACGGAGGGTGTGGGCCTTCTGGCGGCATAGGAGCGGGGCCCAATAGGGGAAATAGAGGATTTTTTTTCTCCTACTATACAAGTGAAGGGATTTAAACCAAATGCAGTCTGAAGCATGCTTAGGGAGAAAAGAATCAATTTTGTTTAAACTGAGGTGTGTGGATTCCCCTTCTTTGGGGCAGATTAGTGGGGCCCATTAGGGGAAATAGAGGAAAACATTAAAGATCCTTCTCCTTCTGTACCGTTGAAGGGATTTTAACCTAACCAAACTTGTTTTAGAGAATCTTTGGGCAAAGGGAATTGAATATTTATAAATGGAAGATGCAACTTTGTTACTTGTACTCCTTTGATAAACCTGAATGGTACTCAGCAGGTTTTAAATTGAAAAAAAAGAAATACCTGGTGAGCTATTAAGGCCCCTTGGCCTCTTGTTTTAGAATGTGAGCACGTATTTTACATATAGAGATCATGTGACGGTGGACTCAAAACCTGATCCAAGGACGAGCGATGAGAAAATTGTTATGTTAAAGAGGAAAACATTCATTGTTAAACTACACATGAATTGATGAAATTATCGACGAAACACATAATACGTTATACAACCTACCAGTATACACCTGCAGGTCGAGGATCGAGAAAAAAATACAACTGCTGTTACCCATTGCATGTATCATAAGCGGCGACTAATGTGGGAACCCCTCCAGAATGGGGGATGTGCTGTTTAGCCCTCTACATGGGGACACAAAACCTACCAAAATAAATCTGCTGCACTAATTGCAATATAAGGGTCTTTATATTTCTCTCTTACTTTTATTTTCTGGCGCCATGCTTGGCAATACTTCACTTTTGGCTTAAATGTTGAACATTCGCCAAGATAAGAAAGGCAAAAGGTTCTGTCTGCCGGCAGGGACATACCGAAGTCCTGAACACATTGTAGATGTTATTTCCCTTTCTTAAACGTTCAGCATTAAGGTAATGGCGACAACTAGTTCACCCGTTGTCAGTATGTAACCGGACATCAGATCCGCGCTATCAAAAGTAGGCAAATACATCAACATACCCTGCCCCTGGTACACATTCACACATGCACGCATACACAACACACATGTAGGTACGCCCTTAAATGACCTTGGCTGTTGGTAGGACGTTAAACCCTGAACAACCATCTAACAACGTTAATCTACCAGGCACATGCTTAATTCATTAGCACGGGTTGTTATATGAAAATATTCGAAAAGAAGTTGAAAACGGCTTCAGAATGTATTCTCTCATTGGGGAGTGGTTTTCCCGGAACAGAATATCTGCTCACGCCAAGTGACGTCATCGACCAAATATAGTGTCCGCACAAAGAAACCCCGCGTAATAAAAAGGTCCATCAAAACAAATCATTGTAACAATAGGTTTCATTGTATTCTCTGCGCAAAAGTTGTATTTGTTTACATTTTAACTTACTGAGAATTCTCCATGAACAGTAGGCCGAAAGGTTGGTTGAAAGATGTATTATTAAGTTGACCTTAAAATTGCTACAGTTTATCACAATGTTTTCATGGTTTGTCATAAGAACAGTATTAAATCTTGAAAACTGCATGATGATAATATATATTTGAAAAGGGCCTGTTTCCAGTAATGTTAATTCTCCATAGGAGCCTGCCCCCGTATAATTTCTTATCTAGCTCAACTACTGTTTTTTTCTTTTCCGAAGAATAATTTTACACCTTTCCGACACCCAGATTTCATAATTTCAGTGAAAATGTATTTTTATAAAGTTGTCAATTTCAGCATCAAAGACATAAGTTCGTAAATAAAAGAA